TTTGCTTTGTGTAGGTGGGAATTTTTGGCTTTAAACATAAAAAAAAACATTGGCTATCATTTTGAATCATCTGCTTTATTTTCTAAGATCCTTCCTGTTTCTTTCTCTTTATATTTATATATATATTTAGTTTCCTTAACCCCTTTTAGTTTGTAATAACCCCATTTCTTGAATAATTTTATTTGAAGGTGAATGTTGCTGTCATACACTTCCACCATAGATGAAACACATTAAAATAAACGCGTGCTATTAGAACCTAGTTAACTAGCCTAGACCGGCAAGATGGAGGTCTAACATCTTATTACCCTGTAATATATTAGCTTAGATTTTGGATGTAATGTATTTTTGGTGTTTAATTCTGTTCACTGTAGATTAGTTGGATCTCACTTATTTTTGAGATGTTTACAGGAGTTTCTTTGCCTCACGATTGCGACATAATCAACTTATTAGTGTTCTTTGGCACTCACATGGGAGCAAGTGAATGTGAGGGTGGTCCTTGCTTCTAGTGGGAAAATAAATTGCAAGAATGGGTAGCAAGATAGCCATGTTTAAGTGGTTGAAACAAATCACACCTTCACAAGTAGTACAGTTGATAAAGGCAGAAAAGGACATAGAGAAAGCCCATAGAATATTTGATTCAGCAACAGCTGAGTATGTTAATGGTTTCCGACATGATCACACGTCTTTTGCTTACATGATCTCTAGGTTACTTTCTGCAAATCAGTTTAGAGTGGCTGAGGACCTTCTCAATAGAATGAAGGAGGAGAAGTGTAAAATCACAGAAGAGATATTCCTTTCTATTTGCAGAGGCTATGGCCGGGTTCACAGGCCACTTGATGCTGTTAGAGTTTTTCACAAGATGATAGATTCTGGGTTGGATCCTACCCAGAAATCTTATATTACAGTTTTTTCTATTCTTGTTGAAGAAAATCAGTTAAAATTGGCTCTGAGGTTTTATAAGTATATGAGACAAATGGGCATTCCACCTAGTGTTGTATCCTTAAATGTTTTGATCAAAGCCCTCTGCAAGAAGAGTGGAATGATGGATGCTGCTCTTAGGATATTCCATGAGATGCCCAGTCGGGGCTGTCCTCCAGATTCATTTACATACGGTACTTTAATTAATGGATTGTGTAGATTGGGAAAGATCACTGAGGCAAAGGAGTTGCTCAAAGAGATGGAGAGAAAAGATTGTTCACCTTCTGTTATTACCTATACCTCTCTGATACATGTTTTGTGCCACTCCAAAAATGTAGGCGAAGCAATGGGATTGTTTGAAGAGATGAAGAGAAAAGGTGTTGAGCCAAATGTGTTTACTTATAGTACTTTAATGGATGGTCTTTTTAAAAGTGGACATTCTTCAAAGGCTGTAGAATTATTTGAGGTGATGATTAGCAGACGGC